AAAGAAAGGAAAAAAAAAAAACTAACATATCAAAATTCTCCCGTGATGTTTAATACTTATAATTTCTATCTCTCTCCTCACTTGAAACTATAAAAATCACTTTGATTCTTCCCAACCATGTTTTTTTAATGCAACATGTGTGGTAGGGGACCGAATTCACAACTTCTGTTTCTGCTCGCTTTGATAACCGTGGTATTAAGTGAATGTTGACGTGTCAATATTTTCATCGACATTCCATGTATCTATGAATTCGATATCAACATGAGATACATTTTCATAATATTACCAAAAAAATCTATAAAATATCAACAAAATCTCACTAATATAGACATAATATTAATATAAATTATTTTTAATTTATTTAGAAATGACGAAAATACTTATTTGTTAATTTAAATAGTTTTTAAAGATTTTCTACTTCTATAATTTTACAGAAATATCTAGACATCAACATTTTATTGATATTTACATCGACATTTCTATGAAATTGAGATCTTGACTATTCAATCGATATCGACGTTTAAAACCATGTTACCAACAAGCCTTACAAATATTAAATGTGTTACTGTTTTCCCTAAATTTTAATAATTGTAAAGGTAAGAGAATTGCATAAAAATTTTGATCCAAAAATTTACGTACGAGAGATAAAAGTGAAAGATAAAATTAGGGAGGTAAAAACAAATTCAATGAAAGAAATCCAACCAAAATCTAAACCAAGCCATACATGTTAGATATATTTAAATATATCGAAATTTCATTGGGGATTTGATATATATTTTTATATGAGTTCAATTAGTTTCTTTATCCCTAAATTTTATCGGCCCTAACTTTCAACTTTGTGTTTAACATATTCTCAAAATTTAAAAAGTGTTTAATGGGTCATTGACTTTCAATTTATGTATATTAGATAATATACTTTCGATTTTGTCTAACATATCTCTAATTTATGAGACTAAATTTAAAGTTTAGTGAATTATTAGGCAGAATTTTTAAAATTTAGAAATCTAATAGACATTTTTTAAAGTTTAAGAATCACTTAAACATAACATTGAAAAATTTAAGAACTTTTGATATTTTTAAAGTTTATAGACTTTGAAGACAACTTTCAGATTTTAGAAACCAATTTATTGATAATTTAAAAATATTTAAAAGTTATTGATTGACCCTAATATTACCACGTTGATAGATATTTTATTCTCTACCAACAACACAACAAATATTTGTTTTTGCAATAAAGAAATCGAATAGGACCTAAATGAGTTGTGCAGGTGAAATGTTCAACAAGTTAACCAGTCCATTTCTTCGTTCTTAAAAAAAATCTTACTTCTTACTGTTACAAAATTCAAAAAGATTTCATTTATATAATTGACAACTACTTTAATTTCTTCAAACATAATCATTGAATTTTATTCAATAAACTATTAAATCAGAAGTCATTACATAAGCAAATTATGCTTTTAGGTAAGGAACTAAAAATAGAATTTAATAGAAGTTGGGGAACACTAATAAGAAATCTTTAAAATAAATAAATAAATCAGTTTAAAAGCGGGAAAGTATATTTAAACAGGTATATTTTCTCTAAAATTAAGAACCAATTTCCTTAAAAATGTTTGGTAATTTGAAAACACGAACCTTTAATTCAATCTAAAATATTACTAATTAATTTTATTAGCATTAAGTTTGTAAAAAAATTATTTTAAAATATTATATAATTTATAATATGTTATATTTTACATGTTTTAATTTTAAAAACGAAAAATAAAACAAGTTCATTTTAAAATTTCAAAAAGAATAAAATTTCTGGATCATAGAATTCAAGAAAAAACAAATCTGCTTTGGCAGATTTAATAATTATAAAAGAAATGTAGAGGGGAAAGCGTGCAAAGTGGCAATAACACAAGATTGGGTGAGTGCATCTTTTGTGAATGGGCAAAACAGTATTCCCAATCCCAACAAATCATCAACTTTATATCCAATTCAAATTTCTTCACCACTCTCCAAATAATTCCAAACAATTCTTCTTATAAACATATTCCCTTTCCGAATCAAACTGTGGGGCCTCCCTTCACCCTTATCTTCAACCATCAATTCTTAATCCTTCTTTGGGAGGTTGGGATTATATAATAATAAAACTCGAGAGATAAAATATGGAAAAAGGCATCATATCATATAATTCTTCCTAATAATCACAGTTTTCTTCTTATAAACACATGCAAATACAGTGATTTTGAAGACTACCAGACAAATATTTTGCTTACGGTTTCCATTATATGCCTTTCTTTCTTACAGGACGGCCTGGAGTTGTATTTACAAATAACTTTGTCGTCGAAGATGCAATGATGATATAAACAATGGCGGGAGAATGGCTTGGTTGTGGCGGCTTCATCGTCAAGCAGTGAAGCCCTTGTGCAGAGAGCTCCACGGGCCGGATGGTACGCTTACGCAGGCTTGCGCCGATGCCTCCGCCATCTGCTCGGTCCTGATTCCGGCATTGCAGAGGTTTGCAAAGGACCTCATGTGTTTCATGCCGTACTGGGAGAGGGATCCGCAGTGTGTCTCAAAGGTCCTCACCTGTATGGTACATCACATCATTTCAGAATTACAGAACCGAAGATCATTGATGAGTATCTGTTTATATTGGCATTACCATAGTCTTAAGACAGTCCCAATTATCGACAAGGGGCTGGCCAGTGGGACGAACGCCATTGAGCACCTTGGGACCTTCTTCGATTCCAAACAACAGCTTTCCGATCAGCTTCACGCTGTTATCGATATGCACTCTATGGGACATTGCTTCCACAAAATGCTTCTGAGCTTTGGTCTTCTGGGCGGTGCCTTCGGGAGCTTTGCGAAACTAAAATGAACAGGCAAAGAGGGGGGAGCAGGGGAGGGGAGGGGTTGTTAGATGATGTCGAAACCAAAATTGCAAGCAAGAAAAAGCCTAATATTTTAGAAAGGTGACAAATAGTGTAGTTTATGTACTTATTCAGCCATTGAAGTCTCATGATTTAAACTTGTAACAGATGGCAAGTAACAACACAATCTAAACTGTGATGAGAGTGAGGATAGAGGCTTAAGATAAGATCTCTTCACAAGTTGAAGAACACAAATCATGGGCCAACTATTTAAAACAGGAAAAAAGAATTTGGCAGTCCTCAGAATGTCTGCTTCTTACAATATAGACCAAATAAATGGTTCAAAGATTTCCAAATTTGAAAATGGAAAAGGAGAAACTAACCTTTTCCCAAAAGTGGACCAGATCAGCATCGCGCTGATTGGTAACTTTTGTGGTTGGCCTCAAGGAGTTGGACTCGACAAATGTGTTATTCTCATTAGCAGGATCTGTACCCATATATGAGGACAATGCATCCTTGTTTAGCGCTATATCACCATATTGCATGACATGAGAGCCATAAAAATCAAAGTCATTTAGCGTCCTTTTCTTCACCTGAGGAATCCAGCAGTTTAAATCATAAAATTGTTATCAGCATCAAACATGGTGAAAAAGAATTACATTTCAGGTTTCTGACAACACCGAGCATAAAGCTTTGATGAGATAAACATATACTGAAATGTCTTCCTTTCGACTTAACTGTACAATCTGTATATTTTGAAAAGGATGAAAGTTTCAAGAAGCAGAATTTTCATTTTACTTAAAATGTCCTTTCGACTTAATTGTACAATCTTTACATTTTCACCGAGATGAAAATTTTCGTTTGTAAGAACCGTCAGAATTAAATTTAAATTCATAGGGAATTGATTTCTCCTAAAACGTTGGTGTCCATGGGTTCTTACCAGTTCATATTGCTGGCCCAAAGTTTCCGTCTTCAAGTTGTGTCTATCACTGTTTACAGCAGCAAAGTAAGAACCATCAGGTTTTGAAAAAAATAAACCACATCCTAGCTAAACTTAATCAAGAATGAATTAAGTAATTAATTGATTCTAACAACTTAAGCTCTAGGGATCACATGTGAAGCCGCGTGAACGTGTTGAAACCTCTAGGGATCACGTCTGAATCATGTTGAACAAATTAATGATTAAATTTACCATAATCTCATAGCTGAAGCTTTTCGATCTAATAATTATATGAGATTTATTCTTCAGCTAAAAAGAATACTAGCTACCAGAAGTAAGGGCGGTGCAGTGCATGGTGCATCTAACAATGAGAACAAGAAGTGAAAACAAACACCTAAAATCGAAGTTGCACAACAAAAAGAATATTACCTTTCAATATTGATATAATTTTTACCGACTAATAAATTAAAAAAAGAAAATAAGAACAAAGTAAACTACAACAACAATAGAGACGATATTATTATTTATTACCTGTCTTCCATCCAAGCAACACTGTACAAATCACCCAAGCAAGTATCATACTCTGGTGGAGGACCGGGATAGTCTCCTGGACAGTAACAACCCCAACTGCTCTCCACAGCATTTGATGCTGTGGTTGCATAGATGTCCATATCTTTAGGAAGAACGCCTTCGAAGATACTTCCTGATTCACAAGCTTCAAGATAGAATACCTACAATATTACAACACAGTCCCATTAGATAAGATTACATTCTGAGGATAACTGCAGTCTCTAGCAATGGACAGCACAATTACTTACCAGGCTTTTGTAGGATCCAGCAGCATGCTTCTTCTTTAAAACGTCAACAAGATCATCGGCATACATATAGGGATAAGTAGGCATCCCTGAACGACACACATCACATAGATGAGAAATTTCTTATCCATCAAGGAACAAGACTAATTAATTTGAAGTAGAGGATTCTACATTTATTTTGTTTTTTTACAATAAGTAGCAAGTAAAATATAGAAAATTAAACTGTTCATTCCATTTCAGATGCTCTATTACTTATAGACATAAATCAAGCAACTCGAACTAAAGTATCCAAAAAATTATGCCTGATACATGATAGGTCTCTTTATAAGTTATGCGAGCTACTTAGAAGAAGGCTACTCACCAAGCACACCAGGGCCACCGTGATCACTGTAGTATATGAAAATATGATCATTAGGACCACTGTCAACAACCTTTCCACTACCCCCCCTTAGAGCTTTCTTGTCTCCAAGAATGGCAGCAAAAAAGTTGTTCACGTTGACCTCCTCACCAGTGTAATCCTGACATGAACAGAGTTAAAGGTTCATAGGAAGCTACAACTAAATGAGTCATGTGTAAAAATAGCATCCATAAAGCAATAAGAAAGACCTTTGGGACTCCGTGGTAAACATCGGAACCCTGTGGATGGTTGATGATGACCCCACGTCTTGGGTTCTCTGGATTGAAGGCAATGTCATCGTACATGAATACGATGATGTTCTCATCTTTTAGCCCATTTTTCCGCAACAGTTGATAAGCATGGCAGATATCGGCCTAGTGGAACATGTGTTCATCATTGTTAGAGTCTTTTGAAATAATTAAACAGTCAATAACACTCAAAAAATGAAACAGGGTTGAAAGCAAAACAGTAGCAATATTCAAAATCTTTTATCCCCATCTCTACTGATCTTCTCTTTGTGTCACTGAAGTTATTAGCTGGGAAGTTTATCTAACAACAATTCGGTCAGCGCATCGTGAAGACACTGCAAGGTTTGCCACCAACTGGGAGACGTAGTTGTCCGTCTTACTTTTTGACATAGGACACCTAGACAGGGCAGAGCCACAAATTTTGGCCGGGAGGGGGAAAATTTTACATAGTTTTCTTTTTATACGTAAGGGGTGAATTAGAGAAAACTTCAAAATCTTTGTATTTTATAACAAACTAAGAGAAGGTAAGCCCTTCCTCCTCTTTTCTTCGCTCCACCAATGAACCTAGACTTTATTGAGCGCAGTCGTGCTAAGAAAAACTAAGTCCCTGTTTAACGAATTTAATTCAATTTTTTTATTATACCCCTCCTCTCTCTTTTGATTTGTAAGACCTGTAACATAGCTCTTCTTATCCTTATCCACAAGAGTTACAAGTGCCTAACAGTAAACGCTTTCAGTTCGGCCTTAAACGTTCCGTCACTCGTTCAACATAACAAAAGCAGCTACAGGTTCGATTACACGGTTATTCTTATACCAACACCATAAAATTTATATCGATCAC